AAAAAAAAAAAATAAAAATGTTCCAGATGTTTTGAATGCAACAATTCGCAAGTATTTTGTGCTGAAAGTAGAAAAAAAATATAATTACTACGCAGAAATTGATGGAACAATCCTTATGGAAGCTTCAAAATGCGTCAGATTAGTCGTAAAAATTCTAAAATTTCTCGGGGGATGCCCCTCGGACCCCCCCCCCCTGCTTGGGGCCCGGACTTTAAAACTGGTACCAGGGCCCGAGATGGGATGTGGCGGGCCTGCATGGACCCGAGAAATATGTACACCGAAAAGATCTTTTTAACCTCATCGAAAAATGAAACATTCTATGTAGAAAGTACAAGGTGAAATTTTGAAGCAGAGACAAGGTGTTCAGTAAGAAAAGTAAAAATAAAGAGATAGGAAAACATTTATACTAGAACTATTTAGGCAGCATAGAACGGAGCACTGCTGGTTCACGCCTTGCGCCATCGCCCCTTCAATTTTGGAGATGCAACACAGACATCCATCAAGTATGAATAGTCGTATCTCTGCGCCGTCATCAACGCGCCTCTTTTAATTTGCTCTATTTCCATACTGCGTTTGTTTCAGTTTGCCTTATTTGTATTTGTAGCGGTGCTTTAAAGACTGTATGAGCAACAGGGCCGTAAATAGGAGAGCCGTAATAATCGAGCCTCGTTTCTTAATTTTCTCACGACACCGCATTGGCAGCGTAAAGCTGAGCTGCGGAATATCGCGAATTCACAACTCACGCCATCGCGCCTTCAATTTTGCAGACGCAACACAGGCATCCATCAAGCACGAATAGTTGTATCTCTGCGCCGTCTTTCCATTTGCTCTGTTTCCATATTGTGTTAGTTTCGTTTGTCTCATCTGAAGTGGTGCTTCAAGGGCTACGTGAGCAACACAGCAGAAAATAGGATGTGCCCTAATCAATTATCATTTTGAAAAGAAAACAAGAAGAAAAATCCAATATGAATATGTTGGAAAAGCGTGCCGAATAAATGAAATGTTGGACACATACCTACTATTTTCACGCCTCTGCTATTTGTATCAATTGGTACTTTTTGCTAAATTTGGGAGAAAATATTGATTCATGAACGTTGAATGTATATTAATTTTAAAGATTCCGTCCATTTATCCTGAATTTAAGCTGATATACGGCATTTACGCACGACCGCGATTTGTGCGAACTGCTGTGCGTCGGAATCGCGTTAAGTTAATCTCTATGGATTTCGAACTGTGGCTTCTCTCCTATTCAGCCGATATTTACAAATGAAGTCTCGTTTTATTTTATTTGTATTTTAACGCAGAGTGAGGAAACACTCGCTAAATAGACGGAAAACAATTTTTGTGAGAATTTGGTGGATCCTGGCGTCACGGTGAATGGTTAATCGGGCGTGAAAGATGAGGTCGACGGCGGCGAGGCGAGTCTTTTATTGCCTTTGCTCGAAACCGGACACCCAAAGCGTTATCGGTAGATAACTGCATGAGCCAGGATAAGTACATGGTATGATGAGTCACGAGGCTCATCACAGATTGCACTCACAGCGCAAGCCGGCCATTGGCTAAAAAATTTTGGCGGGAAAGAAGCTTTAGTGCACGTGAATTGATCTAATTTGAGGCGTACATCAAATTGCAAACAAAATTGTCTGAAAATTTTGAAGAAAAATATGCGCTATTTTCCGAGTAAATTCGTTCATATTGAAGGAAACAAGATAACGACTGAAGGTTCATACGGCGTTCTTCCTTAGCACGGCAGCAAACGACGTTCTTCCTTAGCACGACAGTATTACTGCCGTCCTAAGGAAAAACGCCGTATGAACATTCCAGAGTTGCCAAATTTCCTTCCATAAAGTGTTTATTATTGAGGTAATTTATGAATATTTTTCCTTGACATTTTCAGATATTTTAGATTAAATTGCGAATCAAATTATCTGATTTTTTTTTTTTTTTTTTTTTTTTTTTTTTTTCCTTCAAATATCCTACGAGGGATAATCCTGCGCTTTGCCGTCCCTGGAACTCCATCCCTCTTCCTCCGTCCCCAATCAAGCCAGCCCCAGGTAATCGTTGTTTTGAGACCATCTAACTCGGGTCACCTGGCCGGGAATCGAACCCCGGGCCCTCCTGATCATAGACAGAGACAAGAGACCCTCCACTGGCCCCTAGCGACAGGTGGAAGCTTTTACTTTCGGGGTTTCAACAATTCCTTATGGACAATTATTAGGGAGCAACAGTCATCACCCTAGTTTCGGCTGTTGACTTACCTACATGGTCGATGATGAGCTTCGGATGACGTCATGAGCCAAACAACTTTCCCAAACGTCGGCCATTTTCGGGTTGTTTGCAAAACGAAACTGCCAACACGTTGTTGAACATCAACCATGTAGGTAAGTTAACAGTAGAATGCTGAAGTCCCGAAAGTAAAAGCTTCCACCATGGCCAAGATACTAGTGGAGGGTCTCTTGTCTCTGATCATAGAGCAAGCGCTACAACCATTACACCACAGGAGGCCGAAAATTGAAGAAAAAATATTCATAAATTTTATCGAAAATCAGTGATTTACCTGAGGAAATTCGGCAACGCCTGAAGGTTCAAACGGCGTTTTTCCTTAGCACGGCAGATTAGTGGTGCATCCTGCGACGACGCACTGTGGAACGAGTCAATAGGAGAGGTCGGACAAAATTTGGAAACTTTAAACGCTTATAACTCTGTTTATACAAAACTTTTGGGTTCTAAAAGTGATTCCATTGGTGAAGATGGCGGCAAAGTTTTACAAAGTTCTTGGCATGATTTTGGATGTGATGGAAATTTTCTTAAATCCAACTTCTGAATTGTTCGGATCGAACTTTGATGGATATTTTTACCGAATACTAACCTTCGAGTGTGATTATCATTCATTTCTCAGCCGATAATGCGCGTTTCTCTGGGTCGGGTTTGTTTACATTGAGCCAACTTTGAAGCTCCATGATAGCCTAAAACTGATGAGCCAATCAGTGAGCGCTACAGAGATGGCAATACTCTACCTTACATAGGTACTCTAAGGGTCGCCACTCCTGATATATCTGAACAACGCACAATGGATCGAGTCAATGGGAGAGGTCGGGCAAATTTTGGAAACTTTAAAAGCTCATAGCTCCGTTCATACAAAATTTTGAGATTTTAAAAGTGGTTCCATTGGTTTCCTCGTAAAATTTTCTTCTAGAGGCACTACTTGAATTTTAAAATGTGACGAAATGAACATCAAAATTTGCAGTTTTAGTTACAAAATTTCATGTCCGACCTCTCTAATTGACTCGATCCACTGTGCGACGCGTCTAATAACAGAGCGGTTGCGCGGCAACAGGGGCCGGGAGCGGCGCGCGCTGCGGTGGCGCTCCTGGCGGGCGTCGGTGGAACCGGCGGGCGCCGTCGCCTGAACGAGGCGTCGCGGCTGCCAGTCAGTTGGTGAGCGCGCCTTCAGACGAAGACGCCACCCCCTGTCACCGCGTCTTCGCCGTCCGGGTTCGTGTGTCCGAGTCGCGTGGTCCCCGCTTGGAATCCCTTCTTCGTCCGGTTCAAGGATGACTCGCTCGAAAGCCCCTGCGGCCGGGAGTGGGACCGGCGATGCCAACGGCGTCGGCTACGAGTGGGAGTACGCTCGCCCCAAAGACGACAACAAGAGCAAGTGGGAACGCATCGCTCTCGCCATCTACAACCCCTCGACCAACGAGATCCTCGGCAGGACCCTCAAGAGTTGGGGTAAGTCCCGCCAAATCTACCCTCGAGCTCGCGCGCCCACGGCCCGAGTGCAGAACCACGTATCTCCACGGGGCCGTCTCTAAATCTCGGCCCCGATTTTACGTTTTCAAATAGAAACAAGCCAACTGCCCTAGCAGAACCATAGAAGGAAAAGATAAAGATTATGTGCAAGTTAATTTTTTTTTTATAACGCATGCATACGAAAGTGTTAAAAAAGAACATTTTTATGTAACCATTATGTAAAAAAATGTCATAGTTTTCGTGAACTTTTCGCAAACATACTAAAAAATCTTCTAATTCGCGAAAAGCTCATGAAAATGATGACCTTTTCTTTATATAATAGTTACATAAAAATGTTCACTTTTAACACTTTCGTATGTATGCGTTATACAAAAAAATAAAAAAATTGTCTATAAAAAATTACCTTATCTAGCTTTTATCATTTTCCATATATTATAGTCAGTTCTGAACTTTGATTTTCCTTTATATAAGCGTTACATGTTTTTTATATAAAACTACCATTTAGGTAACATTTATGTTTTTTTTATACTTTTTTTAGAAAAAGAAAAATTTGTTCTGCTACTAGGGTGTATAGCTGGAAATTTATGCAGAATATTCTGCTGACAGAGGAAAAAACCAAGACAATTATCAAGAAGTCTCGGCGACTAGTTTTCCCGAGAATAAATAAAAAATGACAGGGTGTCTGCAACGTCGCAAATGGAGATTCGTGGTTTCGCACTTTGGTCATCGATATGCTGGAAGACCTGTTCCATCAAGAACCATTGTTTGATCCCTCGAGGCTCAAATTTGGAAATGCAGTTTGGTACGCTTCGAGAAAGTGTGTTTTTCATCAAAAATTGAGTGTGCGGGAAAGCTTTGCCCTTGTATTTACCTCTAGTAGGCCCGCGGATTTACGGCTTTCCCTGAAAAATGACAAAATTCGGTGTTAGATGAAATATTTAGGTAGCGCTGAAGCATTCCATTTTTGATTCTTCAACGACTAATGACATAGAATAACACATGACTAACGGGGAAGTTGCCTCAAGAAGGCGCACTTAGAGAAATATTTCACTCGGGTACCAAAAAAAAAACACCGAAAAATATCATTGGCATTTTCTCGAGAAACTGAAACTACCGATCAACGCCGAAACACAATAATGTTAAACTCTCCCGCATTTTCAATTTTTGGTAGAAACTTTATACAGATTGGACACTAACGACACTAACGTGTCCAAGTCAATATTTTTCGGGGGGGTGAGTATAGGTTTAAAGAATTTCTAAATTGAATCCTCGAGGCAAGCAGAAAATGATCCCTAATGGAATAGGTCCTCCTATTTTTTAGTAGACCCGGGAGACAATGATAGAACGAAACGCTTAGAATTATATGGTGTAGAATCTATCGTAATCTTAAAGAGGAAAAAATAACAAATTGGCGTATTGTGATACCAGCTTAAAAGTTTCGGATTCAACTCTTGGTAATTTTTTCCGGGTCCAAAACATCAGCTCCTAGAAATTCTGCGGCATTTTGTGGAACTTCATACTTCATCTCAGTCGAACAAATTAATAATGATGTCGAACTAAGGAGAAATGAAAATAAAATGAGACGGCTATTTCAGAACCTAAATGGATAAGTTCTGCGTTTCATTTGGCGCCTAAAAATCACAGGAATTCCAAAATTGATTCTTTGAGAGCATTAAAGTAGAAGGACGATAAAATCATGAAATTTAGGAAATTACGTACAAAGTTTGCCGGTGAGCACTGTTGCCAGTTTTGAAATTATTCATTTTAAAAGCTTTGAGTTAAAAATTAGTATTCAGCTTTCAAGAGATTGGGTCCAATTTTTCATATTTTTTTTTTTTTTTTTACGCTTACGTAACCTATTGCAGTTGTATGCCTTGAAAAATATCCCTCGAGAAAACACTTACTGAGGCACAAGTTTGTCGTGCTTCGGGGAAAATACCGTATGAGAGTTTGAATGTTGCCAGATTTCCGGTAATGAATCATTCATTCACGGGAGTTGATTTAAATATTTATCCTCGAAATCAAGGTAAACTGAATAAACTTGCCGGGATTATTTTGTGGCAATTTCAAGGGGAAAAAATTCTGGAATTTTCCGGAGAGCACATATTTTATCAACAAAATGGCGTCAATGTCCGAATGCCGATACGAGGTTTTCCTCTAAAACGGCGCAGCGAAATGAGCCAGTGGCGAGGCGTGAACGTTCAATTATCGATTTCTCACCATTTGAAGCTATGGTAAAGAATCGATTATTAAGGTGTTCGTTGCGAACACTCTGTTAATCGATCCTTTTCCATAGGTTTACATGGCGGATCAATCGATACATCGCAAAGCACGCCACGCCACTGAAATGAGCGTGATGAAGAAAAGGGAATTACCTGCGCCCTTTTAATACGTGGGATTTTTATTTAATTTGCGTGCTTTATGGATGGAGTTACTTACGGATGTGGTCGTGCGGGCGTTCTATCCCGAAAACAAATCCGGGGTGAAAAGGGAGGGGGGGGGTGTAAAAACAACGTCCAATGTTCGGACCCGGTCCGGGTCGGGGTCGGCAACTCGAGAAAATTGGATCGATGAAATAAAAGTGACGCTTGCCCCAGTTGCGATTTTCATATTGAATTTTACATCGAATGGGGTACAGCCGTCGCTCAGATCATAGCAGAGCACATTTCAATGGCGATTTTGCCATTTGGCAACATTGCTTATCCTCCATTTCAATCCATTTATTATATCGCTGTTACGGTGATTCCTCCCATGAAGTTAACAAACATCGATATATCGAACGAATTTTGCTAAATTACGAGCTTTGCTTTTCTGTCTTTGAAAAAACAGAGAAGTAATAGTGTAGAAGCATACTTCAGCAGTCTATTGGCAAAAAACTTCTTCCGAAAACTGTAAATTAAAGCCAAATGAAACTGAATGCAAAATATCGCATTCCACCTATACTAATCGAATGCGATATTTTCCGTTTAGTCTCATTTGGCTTTAATTCGCGGGTTTTGGAAGATATTTTTCGCCAATAGACTGCTGAAGTATGCTTCTGCGCTGTTACTTCTCTGTTTTTTCAAAGAAAGAAAAGCAAAGCTCGTAATTTAGCAAAATTCGTTCGATATATCGATGCTTGTTTAGTTAGTTAGTTATTATAATTTTGAGACATTCAGCGACTCAGGCTATTAACGTCTTTACAGGTAATTTTGAAATTACTTCCTGGGAGGAATCACCTTAAGTGAGGCAAAAATCGATTTTTTGCATACTTTTAAAGGGAGGGAAAACAGTGTCGCCAACTTGTAAATCGACATCGATGCATGTTCCTAGTAGGTATCCCAGGTTTCAGCCAGACTGCAAAATAATGATTATTCTATCAGTCAAAAATAAACTTTTTTTTCTCTCTGATTTTCTCCCCATAAGTTCCTCCAGTCGAATCGCTCTTGAGGAGGAGCAAAAATCGGCTTTTTTGTTGTTAATTTTGGCGCGTAGTATGTACTGCTTGCATTTATAATGAATTACCTATACAACCTTAGAGACTTTCAGCGCTGAGTTCATTCGTGACCTCAAAAATATCGCAGTATCAAGTTAAAGGAGAATTTTAAGCAGTTTCGGGAGAGTCTCGGATATTTTATAACTTAATGGATTTTATATTCCGTTTTTCGGCCAGTGGAAGTTGTCATTTTTAGGGCACCATTGCATCCAATATAAAATCATCTCACGAGTCATAGTATTTTTATTCTCTCGTTTTTCTCCAGGATTCGATTTTCAAGAAATTCGAGGCCAAAAGATCAGAGAAATCCAATATCTCGGAATAAATATTGACCTCTTTCATGACGTCTCCGATTATATCAACCATAGATATGGCCGGGCCGGGCGAAAATAGAAGCGGGAGAGGTAGCGGTAGATCTGCCGGGAGGGAGGGAGGGAGGGACGGGGGATAAATAAAGGGTGGAAACCTTGACGCAGCAGCAAAAATAATTTTATTTTACACACGAAAAGAGTCGGGATTTTTTTGAGGGAGGTGATTTTTAGAGACATGGTGTTTGAGCGGATCTACGACAGTTTCGAGTGGATCTTTCTACACACAATGACGCGGAAAATTAGTGGATTCTATCTTTTTGGGCTTTTCTCGTCGGTCAATGGCGAGTTTTGCGGGGTAAAACAATGATGGTTACATAATTTGCTTTTTATCTTATAAACTCAACACGTTCACTGCCGTGCTAAGGAAAAACGCCGTATGAGCCTTCAGGCGTTGCCAAATTTCCGATGGTAAATCAGGAATTTTCGGGAAAATTTGTAAATATTTTTCCTCCAATTTTTCAGATAATTTAGTTCGCAGTTTCACCTACAATTCCTGAAAATTTCAAGGGAAAATATCCATAGCTTTCCGCAACAATAAACATTGTATCAAGGAAATTTGGCAACTCTCGAATGTTCATACGGCGTACTTCCTTAGTACGGCAGTTCAAGAATCAAGTGCGACCGCAGAGTTGCCGCCCATTGTGCACGAGTGATAACAGCGCAGATCACGGTGCGGTGGTGGTGGAAGCATGTGCCACTTTTAGCTTGTTTCAGGTTAATTTCTTTTCCTTAGTAATACTAATTAAAATCGTCCAAATCATGAACTTGTGTTCGAAAAGGATCTACGTGCCCGCAACCTAATTACCCCATGGAAATATTCGATCCTTTGGCGGTTTTTGTCACCGCGAGTCTATTCGTGATTTATAGGGAGAAAAAAGAAAGAAAAAGGCGCGGTAATAACATTTTAAAAGTAGGACCACTCGCCCTTCTCGTCACTTCACGCAGCAAGCTCAATTAAAAACCACAAATAGCTGGAAGAATCGCGACTTGAATCCATTATTGTGAGATATCGATTTTATTTTATGCGAACAACGGGTTATATTGATTGTGAGTCGATTTTCCGAAATGTCGCATTTAAATCGGACTTTTTTGCGGGCGATTTTTGTCAAATTTTAGTTATGATTTTGAAGGCG